CATGGAGGCCTTTGCGTCTGGTTGGGAGTATATGATGAACGCGGATAGATTTAGATAAGTATCACGATTCGGTTCATACATATTTTCTTTGTTTTTTAGACCAAATATTCACAAAATTTGAAATAGTATCCGTTGTCAAGTGCTAACTTATCAGCACGCAGACTTAAGTGTATTTAGAAAGGAGTTGTAGAGCGTAGACTATCGTTTGTTATGATTTCTGACCATAGTCTTTTAACTTGTTCAATTTAGAAGGCTATGTTCTGTCGGTGTTAAAAAATAACAATAAAAAAAAGCTGTTTTGTTTACTGAGCAACTGCCAACCTGGAATTAAAAACTTGATTGGAAGGTGTTGCATTCAATTATTTTCATATATGTACGTTTCTTTTGCATCTATTTATAAAATATACCCCGCAGGGCAGGGCCGCAGCTACAAAATTATCTCATCTGTGATGCTGAACCATCTACTATATATGAGTTTAAAGCTATAATCAAATGAGACAATGTGGTTCTTCCTAAGGTATATTAGAAGTCAGTCGAGTTGAGACGAGGCCCTTTGCTTCTTCGGACCGAACTATGTATGTATGTATGTATGTATGTATGTATATATGAAGGAAGGACAGTATGTATGTATAGTAGTATGATAGGATGTATGTTAGTATGTATGATAGTATGATAGTATGTATGTATGTATGAATGTATGTCCGATAGTATGTATGTATGTATGTATGATGATAGTATGTATGATAGTATCTATGTAGGTATGATTGTATGATAGTATGCATGTATTTATGTATGTATGTATGTATGTATAAATGTATGATAGTATGATAGTATGTGTGTATGTATGTATGTTTGAATGTATGTTTGTTTGTATGTATGTATGTATGTATGTGTATATGTATGTATGTATGTATGTATGTATGTAAGTATGATGATATGTATGCATGTATGCATGTATGCATGCATTTATGTATGACAGTATGTATATATGATAGTATGCATGATAGTATGTATGATAGAATGTATGATAGTATGTATGAAAGTATGTATGTGTAATAGTATGTATGTATGATAGATGTGTGAATGTATGTATGTACGTATGTATGTATGTATGTATGTATGTATGTATGTATGTATGTATGTAGGTAAGTATGTATGTATGTATGTTTGTACATATTTATGAATTTATGTATGTATGTATATATGTATGTATGTATGTACGTATGCATGTGCGTATGTATGTATGTACGTATGTATGCATGTATATATATATGTCATATGTATATATGTATCTATGTATGCATGTATGTATGTATGTATGTATGTATGTATGAATGGTAGTACGGATGATTGTTTGTATGTATGACAGTATATATGTATGATAGTTTGATAGTATGATAGTATGTTAGTATGATAGTATCATAATAGTAAGTAAGTATGTATGCATGTATGATAGTATGTATGAATGATAGTATGTATGTATCATAGTATATATATATATAGTATAC